ACACCCTCGTAAAAGCAATGATTTTGGCTTCACAGAAGAGGAGAGGGTCCCAAGAGCGTCCCCCCGTCGGGGCCAGAATCCTCGTGAGGGTTGTCGTTGTTTGGCCCTCCCAGGAGTCGAAAAAGACCCCTCCAACGACCCGCGGCCCGCCCTCTCCAGACCCAGGGGGAGGGGGTAGGGGGAGGGGTAAACCCTTCCCCGAAGGGGAAGAAGGGGGGTTGAGGACAGAGGGGGCTCGCTAAACCACTCACGCCCTAAAGGGCTGGTGGGATTCTGAAAATCGGTGGCACCCCTCACGCAGATCGTGACGTCAGGGTCCAAAACCACATGGGAATTTCAACTTGTTAACATCAAACCTTCAAAACCACATTGTAAATTCAATAATTGTGACCCCGATTCTCAGGGAATGGCGGTTTCGCTTGAAAAATCATTCCAACATCGAGCCCCAGACCCCGCCTCGGAGCCTCCTGGGGGCCTCCTGGGACCTCCTGGGGCCTCCTGGGGCTTTCTGAACCTTCTGGCACCCAAGACCCCGCCTCGGAGCCTCCTGGGGGTGTCCTGAAACCTCCTGGGGCCTCCTGGGGCCTCCTGCGGCCTCCTGGAGCCTCTTGGGGTCTCCTGAAGCCTCCTGGGGTCTCCTGGGGCCTCCTGAGGCCGCCTGGGGCCTCCTGGGGCCTCCTGGGGCTTCAGAACTACATGCACACAGAGACACAAATCACGCCCAACACATCACAGGCTAGACAAACAGAACACACACACACACAACACCTACAACACACAAAAAGCACGCACCACACAGAGCATACACCACAAACACACACACACACACAACACTCACAATCCTGGGGCCTCCTGGAGCCTCTTCTGGTATCCAAGTCGGGCCTCCTGAGGCTTCCTGGGGGGCCCTGGTACACAGATCGCAAGGTGTGGCAAGCCCACTTGCGCTCGAGTGCGACTGCGATGTTGCATTTCACTCCTGCTTCAAACGCCCCTTCAGTTTTTTGTATGAGCCTGGGCACACACGTGCCACTTGTATATGTATTCACACATATATATACACATCGGTATATCTGTGTGTTCATATATATATATATACAACTATAGATCTATGTATCTAGATGTGAATATGTAAACAGATACGCGTCGCCGTCCATGAAATAATCAAAGCACTCGGGAAATGCCTGGGAAGCGAGCCCCAAACACATATTCAACACCATGGGCACACCTGGAACATGCGCCTATGTCGGTGCGTCTCCCTGGTAAGCGCCTTCAATTTAAACGCGCAAGGGCTGGAACGTTCGCCCCCGAAGCGCCCCTACCTTCGGCTACTTCCCAGGGTTCGACCCAAACAGTAATTTGGAGATTTCGTGAACCTTTTCCGTTGTGACTTGCGATTTCGGCTTGCTGCCCAGGCGGAGAGGGGTTAGTTAACACGAGGGACAACGAACATTAAACGAACACCAAAGCACTGCTTAGGTCGAGCCTCCCCGATACCTCCTCCTCCGCCTCGTACTCCGATTCGGGCGTTCCGCGCGCCTGGGCGGCCAGCGGCGGGTCGCTGTGCCTCTCCTCCTCTCCCCTCCCCCCTGGCTGAAGCCCGCGTGTAGGGTTGCGTCCAGGCCTCCAGGGGTCGCGCCCCACTCCTCCCAAGCCAGCGCCACCTCTTCGCTGTCGGCGCGTCGGCCGCGACGGGTCCGGGAGCAACTCCCCGGAGGGCCAGGAACGCACAGCTTACGGGAAAGCCTTCAGGGTGGGCCGCGCCGCGCGCTCGGCCGCCATCGGCGGCTCGCGGTGCCTCTCTTCCTCTCCGCCCCCCTCAGGTCGTGTCGGCGTGTCGGCCACGACGGGCCCTGGAAAAGTTTACTTCACGAGCGGCGGACGTATTTCGAAGGCGGGAAAATTACACACACACATTGATCTTCGGAACTCCGCGCGCCAGGAAGGGGGGGGGTTCAGCGCGGATCCAAGAAATCCGCGTGGCGCTCCGGCATGTTATCATCATGTGTTTTTGTCCTTCTTATATCGTTATACGTGCCCTCGAGGTTTGGAGTGCGGGGCGCGATCCCACGTATTTGTGGTCGCACGGATGCGTTCCGCGCGGGCAGCCGCGAAACAACGCCACGTATCCGCGGGGTCGCGGTCCAGGGGCCCAGCCAGCGAGGCCGCGGACACAGACATGAGTGTTCGCCTACGGCTTTCGGGGGTGCAAGGGCGTGAAAACGATACGGTGTTCGCAACGCCACCGCGCACGGCGTAGTGGAGATGCTTCAGAGTGTGTTCGCGCAGGGTGAGAGGTTCAATTAAACATGTTCATAATGATTCGGGCGAAGGTCCGCATACCTTATTGTGAACATTTTATATGATATATATATATATATATATATATATATGTATATGTATGTATATCTATTTATATACATGTGTATATATGTATATCACATTTCGAACGCATGTGCTTGTATATCTACGGCTCACAAGTTTGCTGCGGCCAGCAAGCACGGATGCCATTGGCGTCGCATGTGGTCGCGTGGTCGTGTTCATCAAGCTCTTGCCTGCCCGAGATCTTTGTACACGTAATGTTTCCGCTATATCGTTGGCGATGTATTTGGTCGACAGCGTGCCGAACACTACTTTTGTAGATCACAGGCGAGCAAGATCCAGTGGCACATTGCAAATCTCCATCATATTTGGCCTCGCCTGATGCTGCGGATGCACTGCCCCGTGATGGAACTTTTGAGCCACTTGACAATGTTGATGGTCACGGCGGTGCCCCTGTTGTTTCTCCTTGATGATTTTTGGAGCGATGATGATGGTGGCGGTCCTGAGGCCACTTGCCCCTGGCCACGCCCGCGCCCACGCGGCGCTGGACCTGCGGAGGCAACCCTGGATTAGCACACTGGCGGGGGGTGCCTGGATAACGGAGGCCATGGAGTCCTGGAGCACAGCGTGATTTTTGATTGAGGACTTGGCGCGCACATTCATGTGATTGCTCCCGCTGGTGACGAAGAACGATTCGATGGTACGCTGGTTCCCTGGGATATGTGTAGCGAAGATGATTGCCCCGAGGACCTGAGGCACGGAGCGGGTGCCGATTAAGGATTTCGAGCACCGTTCGTGATAGAGCATTTGATGGTCATTTGGTCATTTGCTTGAGGCGTTGCAGTTGCGACGGCTGTCGTTGAAATTGAAGGCATGGCGGCGCAAGGGTCAGGAGTGGAAGGAGTAGTGGTATTGCAGGGCGGCTGGCAACTCAATTTTCGACCCGATGCGCCACGAGGCCACGTTCATGCCAGAATTCAGCGACTTCGTGAAATGCGTGCACCGAGGCTTGCCCCTGCTGTCGTGCTGTCGTTCATCCTGTGAAGGTTTCGCTGCCGATGGTCTCGACGCCTACCTTCAACACCAATGCGGCTGTCAATCGTCCTGGTCTTGCATACTGTGGGCGGTTCGTGAAGCGTGTTGCTTTCATGCCGTGCAAGTTCATGGTCTCCTGCACAAGATTAGCTTTCTCGCTGGTGGATGCGAAAGCAACCTGGTGGACTCCATGGTCTACGATGTGGACGACGACGGGTACCCTGCTGACGATGCCTTGTGGGCTGCCCTTCGGGGCTGTGTGACCCTAGTCATGCTGATTTTTTGACGATCGTGATGCCATGTGCGCGAGGAGATGCCCCAGCGAACTTGTGAACTCAATGGTTTATGCAATGGACGTTGGCGGGTACTTTGCTTGCGGCGCTCACCGCGTCGACATCGATCTTTCTCCACGTTGCGTTCGTTCGGAATCTCGTGAGGCGTGTCGGTACGATCTTGGTGACGATAGAGGAGCCTGGCCGTCGCGGTGATGCGGTCCGTCCCGATCTTGGGGACGATAACGATGTTGGTCGTTCCGGTCGTGGTTCTACGATTGGGGCGAGACCCAGGTGGAGTGGATGTTCCCGCTGCAATCGGCGGCGAGAGGATAGCAACCACTGTGCGGTAGTGGAGACCATTTCCGTGGAAGTTGGCATCGGTAGGTGCGGCGAGTTCTCATGATGCGCATGACGAGGAATGACGTGCCCACCTTTCTTTTGCTGTTGATGGCAGTGCGGTTCTCGTCTTTACCCCTGCTCGTCGGACCTGGGGTCTTGATGGTCTCGTCGCTGATGGCCCAGGGGTCGTGGTCGACATTGAGGGCAACACTAACCGGATATGCGAAGTTCACTGTAGGGGCTAACGTTGTTCTCTCTGTCGTGCTAAGTGCCTGCTGTACATCTCCCTTCCACCGGTTCAACTTCGGCTTGGCGGGCCTGGCCTTGCCCCAGAGGGCCCCATTAGTGGCACATCGGATGCTCTCGCCGCCGCTTCCTCCTGACAAGAACTTCTCCTCCTCCCCCCGCGTCTGCTGCCGCCTCGCCCACCGTGTCTGGCAACCACCCTTCAGGCCTGCCCTACGCCGTAGTTGCCTCTCTAACGTGGGGCAAAAGCTATACTCCTAGGATGTAGCTCCTGGGAGTTTAAATTCTAAATCGGAGCTGGTGTATCCGTGTATCCCTGGTCGACAATTTGCCTAATATGATCAATCTCGCTCAATTCGGCTAAGTCATGCTTAGTTCCACTCACGCCCGCTCAATCAAGCTTAACACCTTGGGCTCAAATCCGGCTCAGTGGCCTCAAGCGGGTTTCATAGCCCTGCATCGTGCGTCCTGACGAAGACCTCCCAGGAGTTGCCTCCTAAGTTTTGGCGGCGAGCCTGGGAGGGAAGTGAGAGGGAGAATTCCTTCTCAGAAGGCTCGGGAGTTCCCCTGCCTTCTGAGAAGTTTTCTAAGCCTTCCCCGAAGACACAGAAACCTCAAGCAGGCTGGAGGGCGTATGAGAAGCTTCGCCGCCTTCTGAGAAGGCCTTTTCCTTTTCTCTTCCCCCCTCGCTCGCCGCCGAACGCTGTGCTCTTCCTGTTTCCCCTGCCCCTCGTGGGCCCCCCTCGCGCGCGCGCCCCCTCGGTGGGGGGGCGTGCGCTCCGTCAGGGTCCCGCCGCTCGCCCGGCAATGCCCCCCGCGGGCGGCAGGCGGGGCCGGCCCAAGGGCGAAGGACGCCGCTCGCCGTGTGTCGGCGGCGCGTCGATGGGGGTAATTAAGTTCATGGGCGGATGCACATGTCCCTGTCCGCGGCCTCGCGGGCAGGGCTACTGGACCGCGACCCCGCGGATACGGGGTGGTGTTTCGCGGATGCCCCGCGCGGAACGTATCCGTGCGACCACGTATCCGCGCGATCGCGCCTGGGATTGCAGACCGCGGGGGCGCAGATACTGATATGTATGTTGCTCGTAATAAGTCTGATGTTTCTCAAAACTGGAAAAGGTACCCAGACCGATACCCTTCTTTCGTTTTCGCGTTTGTGGGCCTCCCGGGAGACCCTCGTCGCCACCGCTGGATTCGCCTCGAGCTCCTGGTCAGAACGCGCCCCCGGAGAGGTTCAGAGAGTAGCGGTATCAGTAATTGTTGGTTTCCCTAGTTCGTTTTTGTTTCATTTTTTCTCGTAGATTCGCATCGGATTTCCAGCCTCGGGGTGTTTTCCAGCAGCTGCGCCTCTCCGAGCGCGTTCCGGGGGGCGCCTGGATCGCCCCGATCGGCCGCCAGAGACCCGAGCGATGATCCCGGAACTATAACTTCCTCGCCCAGCGGCGCGCCGTGGGGGCAAACGTGAGACGTGGCAGGACTTCTGGCTTTCTGAGAAGCTTGGGAGGCCGCGAAAACAGAGTCATGAGAAGTTATCCAGCCCTTCCCCGAAGCCACGGAGGGCTTTTCAAAAGGCCGGAAGGCTTCTGATCCTTTCGAACTGAAAATTCAGGAGGCGTTCTGAGCCTGAACTCTTTGGGCGCGCCGCCGAGTGAAGGGAACTCACATATCCGACGATCTGATTATTGTCAATTGGATCCCGCAAGTTTCTTCCGCTCTGGTCTCTGGGATCCGTCGTCGGGCCTTGAACCCATCGAACGTGGAGCGTGGACAAACAAAAATGCAGCAGGAAAAGGGGTCGGGCCTTCTTGAGGGCCGCGCATTGAACAACACATAACGTCGGATATCTGGGAATGTGGTCCTGAGGGGGGACGGGTCCTGGAGTGGTTACGCCGTCTGACGGGGTCCTGCGGGGCGACAGCGGGCCCCAGGGCCGTCCAAAGGCGACGTTAGGGAGAGCCTCCGGGGTCCACGACCCTGTTTCTCGACGGCCCGGTTCTCTTTCGTGCCAGACCGCGCCCCGATGGACGATCCGGGCTGGCCCAATGGGGAGAAGCATCGGCCTGAAATCGGCCTGTCATCGCTGGTCGGGGTCTGGGGGCCCCGCCTCACCCAGGAAGGTGCAGCTTCGCAGCCGAGGGCTCATCGCCAATCTCTCGGCGATGCATCGCCGATTCCAGGTCAGTGGTCTCCCCATGAGCCGCCGCTCCCTCCCCCCTGGAGGCTCTTCTCAATCGAAGGGCGGCGCAAGAGGAGGAGGAGGAGGAGGAGGAGGAGGCGAAAGCGGAGGCGGAGGAGGAGGAGGAGGAAGAGGCGGAGGAGGCGGAGGAGGAGGAGGAGGAGGAGGAGGAGGAAAAGGAGGAAGCGGAGGAGGAGGAGGAGGCGGAGGAGGGGAGGAGGCGGAGGCGGAGGAGGAGGAGAGAGGCGGAGGAGGAGGAGGGAGGAGGAGGAGGAGGAAAAGGAGGAGGGTGAGGAGGAGGGAGAGGAGGAGGACGAGGAGGAGGAGGAGGAGGAAAAGGAAGAGGAGGCGGAAGAGGAGGAGGAGGAGGAGGAGGAGGCGAAGGCGAAGGCGGAGGCGGAGGAGGAGGAGGAGGCGGAGGCGGAGGCGGAGGCGGAGGCTGAGGCGGAGGCGGAGGCGGAGGGGGAGGAGGGGGAGGTGGAGGAGGAGCAGGAGGCGGAAGAGGAGGAGGGGGCGAAGGCGGAGGCGAAGGCGGAGGCGGAGGCGGAGACGGAGGCTGAGGCGGAGGCGGATGCGGAAGAGGAGAAAGAGGAGCAGGAGGAGGAGCAGGAGCAGGAGGAAGAAGAAGAAGAGGAAGGAAAGAGCGCGTTCTGTGGTCGCTTGGAGGGGGACGGAAGGTTTGGGGTCGCCCCCCCCCCCCCCCCCCCCCCCCCCGGGGTGCGAAAGCACCCCCAGATCCCCCTCCTGGATGGAGGGGGGGGTGTCGTTCCCCTCCCCCGCCTCCCGTAACGAAGGGGGGGGGGTCGAACCCCCCCCCTCCCCTACTTCTCCCCTCTCCTTCTCCTCGGGCCGGCGCCGGCGTGGGCGGCGGCTGGCGGCGGCGGCGGGGGTGCTGGTGGTGATGGTAGTGGCGGTGGTGGTGGTGGTGGTGAGGTGGTTTGTGGTGGTTGTGGTGGTGGTGGTGGGTTGTGGTAGTAGTGGTGGTGGTTGTGGCGGCGGTAGTGGTGGTGGTGGTGGTGGTGTGGTAGATTGTGGTGGTGGTGGTAGCGGTGGTGGGGTGTTGTATTGGTGGTGGTGGTGAGCTGTTGTGGTGGTGGTGGTGGCTGGGAAGTGGAGACATAAAAAGAAGAGGAACAACAGGAATCCTATGATTCACTATCGTAGAAATATTTTTTCATGATAAGAATATAGTTACCAAGAAGGAAAACGTTAATACTAGTCATAATACGAACTTTATCAATAGTAGTAACAAGCAGAAGAGTAATAAAAATAAGAGGAGGAGGCGGATCGAATTTCGAGGTTCGAGGTGGCCTCCCGCCCTTTCCAGGCTCCCGGAGGCGTGGTCTCGGGGCTCCGTCCAGAACCCATCCAGGTGAAGAAGTCGGCCAGTGTGGACCCCAGGAGGGACCCTGAAGCCATTTGGAGTCGCAGTACTTGGCTCACTGCGGGAGCTCCTTCGGGGAGGGGGACTGGAGGGTTGCAAGTGGATTCTAATGTGGGTTGTATCTGGCCTGACCCAACTTGCATTTAAGTGGGTTGCAGGCGCCCGGGTGTGCCTAGTATGAAGTCGCAATTTGGGCACTCGTAGCTGAGTCTCGAGCTTCCCAGACATCCAGCGTCTCGATTTTTTCGAGACGCGGGCCACTGACCTTTCCACCACGTCCCTCAGACCAGTTTTTCATCGCGAGTCATTTATTGACGGTCCCGAGGCCTGGTAAGGGCCCAAAAATGTACCCTTTGTTTCGAGACGCCAGGATATTTGGGTTAGCCTCGGCCAGATATGGCCCTCCTTGGCATCCACTTGTGACACCCCTCTTGTCCTCGCATCACCCCTCCCTGGTGATCCGCCGAGTCTCAGGCATCAACAAAGCCTCGAGACCTTCGAGGTGACAGCCCGATCGCTGCCCCGGGGGCCCTCGCAGGGCCCGCGTTCTCGGATTCTGGCGGCCGGGGATCTCGGAAGCCGTCCCCATTGAGGGAGTCCTCGAACAAGAAACAACGGCACAAACATGACCGTTTGGCGGTCCGCGCAGATTTCTTGGATCGGTGCCTGGGCCCCCCTGGCGGCGCCTCCGGCGCCGCTCAAGGCGCGATCCGCGCGCCAGGGAGGGGGTCCAGCGCAGTTCCAAGAAATCCGCGTAGACCTCTAAAAGTTTCTGCTTTTGCTGTTTTGTGCTCCTCGCAGATCCAAGAGATCTGAGCAGACCTCCAACCGTTTATGCGTATGTCGTTGTTATGTTCCTCTAAGTCCGAGAGGCCTGGGGCCCGTGCTTCGAGACATCTGGACGCCGGGCTTCAGGGAAGCAGTTCAGCAAATGTGGGTCCCGAGAATATGCAGCGCCACCACCATCATTCCTCCCTCCCTACCTTCTATCCTCATATCATCCTCCTCCCTCCAGGGAGAGGAAGGCGGTTGAGGGAAGGGGTGGTGGTGGTGGTGCACTTGGGGGCCCTGTAACAAAGGTTGGGGAAGTTGACGTAAGGATTGGAGGCAGGCAGTCGGTCCGCGAACATTCTCCCAAACAGGGTAGTGAACACCAGCGGACCGATGTACTCGTCACGCCTGCAAACATCACAGGAACTCGCTGCAGCACGGCGCCCTCCCATCTTTTGCGCTCCGAGAAAGAGGTTTCTTGACGTCTCTGGTTTTTCTGGGCCTGCGTGGGCCTCTGCGGAGGCCTTCTCATGGGGAACTCCTGGGGGCGCTAACGGAGGGCTCCAGAGATTCCCGGAGACCTCGCGCTATATTTCTGAAAGCTGGGAGTGCAACAAGATGTCCCGAATTGAGACAAGAGCTATATGCAGATCAATATGGTTCCTCCCCCTTTTTCCCTCCCTGGAAGAAGGAGCACACACTAGGCATAGGGTATTGACGGATGAGTATTGGTAGAAATGTTCGATTATTGTTCTCTCTCCCTCCCTCCCTTCACTCTTTCTTATTCTCCCTTCCTCTCCCCAGGGGAAGGGATGGCGCAGGAGGGGACAGGGCAGCGGGCAGCCTGCGATTCCCGAAGGGAAGCTGGACAAGGCAGCTGCGTGTCGCGTGCCGTGGTCTTGGCGAGAATGGGATCGGGAGACCGGGCGAAGGAGGGACTGGGGGGGGGAAAGATGACGATGAGGATGATGATGATGATGATGATGATGATGATGTTGTTGTTGATGAGGATGATGGAAATGATTATGATGATGCTGCTGATGATGATGGAGATGATAATGATGATGTTTATGATGATGCTGATGATGATGATGATGATGACGATGATGATGATCATGATGATGATGATGATGATGATGATGATGATGATGATGATGATGATGATGATGATGATGATGGAGATGATGGAGATGATGATGCTGAGGATGATGGTGAGGAGGAGGATGAGAAATATGAGGAGGAGGAGGGGGATTTGGAAGAGGAGGAGGAAGAGGAGGATAATGTGGATGATGATGATGAGGATGATAATAAGGATGATGATGACGAGGAGGATGAGGATGATAATGATGATCATAATCATGATCATGACCGTGAATCGGCTGGTGATGCAGATGCGGATGCGGATGCGGATGCGGATGATGATGAGGATGATAAGGATCATGATGGTGATGGTGATGGTGGTGAAAGATGGCGACGACGTCAATGCTGATGATGATGATGATGATGATGATGATGATGGTGATGGTGATGGTGATGATAACGAGTGTGATTATGATGAGGATGAACAAGAATCCCCAACAATATTGCAATACAACCTCCCTCCAAGTTCCCTCTTCATAGGCCCAAATACCAGGATTCAGTGTCACCACGGAAAGTGCCCCGTTGGAAGACAATTGCGTGAACTGTGCCAGGACATTCCTGGGACTTCACTGTCACTGCTGCGCCTTGACGATCCTGGCCGGCGCCAGCACCCCAAACATGTTTGATGTTAGCCACGAGAGCCCTCGAAATTTGCGTAAATTCTTGAAACGATGGTGTGCGGCGCTACGGCGAGAGCCATAGTTTGACACGAAGCCACCCTCAATCCGCGAAGCTGCTGACTTTTTTTAAACGAATGCGCGCAGCGCTAGGGCGAGAGCCACATGTTGAAACGGGACCGCCCGACCGCCCTCCATCTGTGAATTTGTCGCAGTTCTTGAAGGCGAATGCGCGCGGCGCTAAGTCGGTAGCCTTTTTCAAAATGGCCCGCCCTCAATCTGTCTAATTTCTGCAAGCGGTTAAGACGAAGGCGCGTGGCGCTAAGGTAAGATCCACATTTTGAGCACCACCCGCCCTCCATCCGTGAAGCTGTGCAAAGTTCGAGCTCCAGGATTGCAAATGGTCAGGGGGTCTCAGGCCAAACGCCCGACCCGTCCTTTCAACTGGCCTTGGGGTGCGACATGTATTACTGAATGAATGTATAGCTTTATTGGTGAATGATGGTGGTGATGATGATGGTGATGTTGTTGGTTATGTTGATGATGTCGACGGCGATGATGATGATGTTGCGGATGGCAATGATAATGGTGATGCTGATGATGATTTTGACGATGATGGGGTGATGGTGAGGGCGATGGTGATGACGATTCAGCGGATGAGGTGAGGATGATGGTGATGATGATGGTTGCGATTGTGTCGAGACTATTGAAGGTGGTGATGATGTTGTTGCCGATGTTGATGACGTTGATGCTCATGCTGCTGCTGTTGTTGTTGTCGTTGGTGCCGTTTTTTGTGTTGCTTTAAATGCCATTGTTGTTGATGCTGTTGGTGGTGTTGGTGGTGTTGTCGTTGTTGTTGTTTTTGTTGTGTGTGTTGTTATTGGTAGTGGTGTTGTGGTTGTGGTTGTGGTTGTGGTTGTTATTGCTGTTGTTGTTGTTGCTGATGATGCTGATGCTGATGCTGATGCTGCTGCTGATGCTGATGCTGCTGCTGCTGCTGCTGCTGATGCTGATGCTGATGCTGATGATGATGATGATGATGATGATGATGATGATGATGATGCTGATGATGATGATGATGATGATGATGATGATGATGATGATGATGAGAGGTGGTGGTGATGGTGATGATTGTGATGAGGGGAGGATGATGAGGAGGAGGAGGAGGAGGAGGAGGAGGAGGGGGATGGAGCAGGCCAAGTTCCGAGACTTGGGTTTATTCAAGAGGCGTTTGCCATTCCGCCGACCCCCAGAAGAGGGATGACGTCCACGGGTGAGGCCTTCTGGGGCCTCTCGAGGACCCTCTGGGGGCCCCTTTGGGCATCCTCTTGGGAGTTTCTTGGGCGCCTGCTGGCGTTCTCGAGGGTCCTTTTGGGGTGGAGGGCTCAGAAAGTCAGTTTGAGTTAGTCTCTCTGGGGACCCATCTTGGAGCCCTGTTGGGGCTCTCTTGGGCCATCTTGGGCGCCTCTTGGACCGTCTTGGAATCCTCTTCGGCCGTCTTGGGGCCCTCTTGGGGTCTTCGTGGGCCGTCTTGGAGCGATCTTGGGGGCCTCCTAAGCCGACTTGGACGCTGTTAAGACCAACAATCAGAACATGCTCACACAATTCAACGTTTTCCATAATGAGTTGGACGATTCTTGCTTCTTGGGGCTTCTTGGCGGTCGTCTTGGAGCCCTCTTGGGCCGTGTTCGAGGCTTCTTCTGCAGTCTCAACGCCTGCATGGTCGTCGTTGAGAACCCCTCGGCGTGTTTGAGTCCAGCTTGAGCCAGCTTAGACAGCATCTTGGGAATCCTGGAGGCCACGGAGTGTAGATTTGGAGGCTCTGGAAGCCCCGGGGGTGCGTTGACGAGCTCGTCCGCCCCCCCGCGGGCTCCCCTGAGGGCTCCTTATCCAGTTTCAATCCCCAGGGGAGGGGAAAGGGGGAGGGGGACCGCCGATCATCTCACACGCCCCTGAACCCCAGGGAAGCGGGGGTCGTTGGATCCGTAAGCACACCACCGCCCGTGGCTAGACAGATCCACACCCAACGCCCGTTGCCGCCCCTGAGGATCGATCACCAGACGGTGGTTAGCCCCGCAGAGCCCCAAGAGGGGCCCCGAGGAGGTCCAGGACGGCCCCAAGAGCGCCGAAGAACGCCCCAAGAGGGCTCTAAGAGACCTTCTTTTGAGCTCCAAGGCGGCGGCGCCACGGACGGATCCCCGCCTCGCACGAGTGGGGGGCGCGAAGATAACCGCGCGCCGAGGCCCGTACCGGAGCGACTGCCACTCTCTCCCAGGGGCGACGGCGCCAGGCCCGCGATGTCGCGAGGTCGGGTGGCCCGGGGTGTCGGGCCAGGTGCCAGAGACCTTGGCAACCCAAGAAGGTCTGGCAGCTGGTGATGAGGGGTGACCTGATTGGAGGTGAACAGGGCACAAGGGGTCCGAAAGGGCCCCTCGTGGGCCCTGTCCTTCATCCCCCATTTAGATCAACACACAATTACCACTCGCCCGAGAAGGGTGTGTGGCCCAGAAGTCTGGTGACCTACAGACACTTCGATGGGAGGTCAAAAGGTGCGCTTTCGAACGACGCGCCTTCGTCCGCCGCCGCCGCTTGGCTCAAGTGGTGGCCGCACTGCATGTGACTGCCTCGTCATCACGGCACGATTTGCGTTTGATGAACGGAGCACATCTTTCGATTACATTATCTTCCACCACATGTCTTATCTTTTGCCTCTCTGCTCATGCCCACTCTATGGGTAACTTGTGTGGTACGGTTACACGCTTAAGGTACGATTACAACCCAAGAAGTGTAAGTGATCCAGAGGTCGGGTGACTTACAGCCAAGACGCTCAAATGATGGCTGCAGAAGCTGGGTGGCCTTGAGGGTGACCATGAAGGTTGGTAGACCTTGAAGGTCGGGTGGCATAAAAGCTGGGTGACCTAGAATCTGGGTTACTTGGATGAGCTCAGACGTCGCGTTTTCTCCCCGCATGGGCCTGCAGAGGTCAGGACCCCTTCCCCCGGACTGGCTTTCCACCCCGAGCCGTTCATTGATTATCCCGGGGCCCGGCAACGGCCCTCTGGAGGCCGACAATAAGGAACAAAATCCCGTGGCGATTGTTTCGCAACGTTCTGGGCTCTCGACCCCCTTGGGTTGGCGTCGCCCAGACATGCTTACACGTTGTGTTTGGTGCCCCCCCAGGGGCGACGCGCGCGCCGAGAAATTGTACCGTACGTGCTCGGTTGCGGGCGCCTCCTGTACATACCGCCTGGGTAACGATATGCAATAACAATGTGCGATATGTTCGGGGGGCGCATCGTATCATTCGGTAGTAAAGCACGGGAGTCTTGTATACCCTCGCAATTCATGTTTTAGAGTGCATCAGCGTGGATTTGGGTCTGGCAATCGATGAGTAGCGCCGATGTATCTTCGATTAGCGTCTACTAGCGTTGACTTAGCGTCGACTTAGCGTTGATGAGCGCCGATGAGCGTCGATTAGTGTCGATGAGCGTCGATTCGCAATAGCTAGCAAGATTACTAGATTGTGCGAGAGGCTCCCATGAGTTGCAACAGCGGTATTAGTGTGTCCTTTTGCGTCCCACTGGAGTCCTGGGGAGGGGTGGCATTGCGCGCGCGGGTGGGCCCAGTTTGCCCGAGTGGAGGAGTTGTCGGCGAGTCGCCAGCGTCCGGCGGCTGGGTCAAGAAGGCTGGGAGGGTGCTTGTCCTCTCCCCGTGGATCGAGGACTTCTCCCTTCTCCCTCATCCCTCCTACCTTCTCGGCCCTTCTCCCTCCCCCTTCCTCCCTCCTCCATCCTCTCCTCTCAGAGTCCCCCAACACGATGAGCGACACGTTGACGACGAATGCGTGCACCCCAGAAGTCACCGAAGATGGAGTGAAGTGCCGAGCTAGCACTTGTGATTTATTATATAGTTCGCAGTCCTGCCGCGTGCATTGATGATGAGCCGTCCTCTGAACTCTCTCTGATGGTGAGTGCCAGCACGAGGTTGCCTCAGAGCGTACACAAAAGAGCGATCGTGACCGGAGTTTGGGCCTTGTACGACACACAGTTGCGTGGCAGAATAATCCGCACCACATTTGCCGACTCTTGGTCTTTCTGGCGCCATCAGGTTTCACCGATTCCCAGTACCATATCGATTCTTGGCACGGCACTCTTTGAGTTCAGTCCGAGGGTGAATGTTGGCAACCACGTTGCCCACTGTACTTCGCTCCCCTTGTCGTCTTTCTCTGACTGTTTTGATCAGCTTGTGCGTACTTCTGGCGTCGCACGTTGCAGAGGATTGCGTGCACCACAGGACTCGTCGAAGGTGGAGTGGAGCAGCCATGAGACGAGCCATCGCAGGTGATATATGTATCTAGATACATACATACATGCTTCGCTGTCCTGCCGCGCTTGTTGATGATCGTTTGGGCGTATCCTCTGATGTTCCTATTCCACCGACTGTTTGCAAACAAAGTGATGATCTTCCGCTGGTGGTGACTCTCCAGATTGTGAAGTGCTCGGGCAGCACTGGATTTTTAATTGCTTGGCCTTCTCTTTCACCTCCTCTCCAGGCCGTCTGCACTTCTCCTTTATTTTCCGCGCTGTCATTTCTAGCGCTGTGCCGTCCGCCGCCCTCTTGGTTATGTGCGTTGGACTGCCTGGGACTCAGGGCTGGGCCGTTCCTTGCTGGGGAGGAAAGGCACTTGGGAGGTGCTTGCGGGCGCCTGGAAAAGGCACTCGGGAGGTGCCTGCGGGCAGCCCAGGAAACGCACTTTGGAGGTGCGTGCCTGCAATGTCGAGTCCGACCGACCTCCTTCCTGCCCCTCTCTCATTCCTCTTCTCCCTCTTTCATGCTTCCTCCCTTCTTCCTCCCTCCTCTCTCCCACCAAGGTTCCTACACGTGGTCTCTAAGACAAGGCGTATGTTCTTCCTGATCCGGAAACAGCCCCTGGCTTCCCATAATTATGGTCTCCCGTATGGTTTCTTGTCTGGTCTCTTGTCTGGCTTCTTGTTTGGTCTCCCGTTTTGTCTCCTGTATCGGTCCCAGTGTGGTCTCCCGTTGTGTCCCCCGCTTCTGCAGTAAAGTACACTTCTCTTTTTACTCTGTCATCATGCTGTTTGAAGTTTTCTGCCGCTAGGGTGTAAGTCGTGTCCTTGCGGCCCCGTACTTGGTGTATTCTAAGTGCCCTGGCGCCAGTGGACGTCAGCGCCAGGCGGGAACTGGAAACATCGGAGGATGAATCGGAGCACGGAGGAGGAGGACGATGAGGGGGAGGAGGAGGAGGGGCGGAGAAGGCGCGGGGTGTGTGGATTGCGGCAGGAGGAAAGGATGTACAGAAGGTGGATGGAGCGAAAGCGAGGAAAGTGAAGGAGGGGGGAGGCGGGTAGGGAGGGCGACAAGCTTGAGCACCATCCCGTCAGCGCTTCGCAAGGGCGTGACAGGTACTTCCGCACGCGCGTTTCTCCCACATAGCTCCTGGGCGAGATAATCACCAGTAACGGTAACAGGTCTTCTGTACGTACGGGAAGCGGATTGGTGGGTCGTGGCAGCCGCGATCGTTCGACGGAGGGATCGATGGGTGAGGGTGGAGGGGGAGAGGCGGAGATGCAAGAGACGGGGAGTTGGCTCGGGGAAGGGAAGGGGAGGAGCAGGAGGAGGAGTATGATAATTTCGCTCGTGTCCCACTATGCTCGCCTCATTGGATGTCGTGGCACTTGCCAACGAGGCAGACGGAGCTGGCGATGGTGACCACGGTGGCGAGGACGCTTGCTTTCAGCGCGGCGGCTCTTGAGGGAAGGATGCACGTCCCATGTACATGTATTCATTGTTCTGCATGCGTGTTCCTGTCAGCCGATCCAGCGACCAGTGTGTCGCTCTCTTTCTTTCTGGCCTAACGCGCAATTGCCTCGCCTGGTGTGGTCTGGTCGCAGGTCGTCTAATCAAGTATCGTTCCACGTAGTGCTACGTGTGCCTTGTCTGTGTAGTATTTCTTGTTACGCGAAGTCTGACCCCATTGTGTTGAAGGTGCCTGGGCCTGGACAAACGGCAATCCAAAGGGTGTGGTTGCTCAAGTGTTGTCTGCTTCTCTGTATCCTTCTCCTCCTTCTCTTGTTACTCGTGTTTTTGGTCGGCCTTGGCTTCCCCGCTATTGAAGTGTTGATCTCCGCGCGAATTCCTGCTTCCTGTTCCTATTTCTCCCTCCTGGCTCGTCACTTCCCCGCGGATCCTCCACACGTGTTATTTGCCCAGTACCAGCGCGAGAAAGGCAAGCGTCACTCTGTGTGGGCGCCGCGCATTTGTAAGGTGACTATGTTTTCCCGCTTGCTCGCGGTGCCTGTCTGCCCGCCACAGCCAATGTGATTTCACACAGATGAGGCTGCGCGGCAGACGCTTGACAACACAGCCCGGTGTTGATCCCGAGCGCATGCCCACCAGCCATGGAGGCCTCATGCCCAGCGCGTGCGGGTCTGACACTTCGTGGGGTCTTGAGTGCTCCGCCGCATCGGGGACGTAACACACACGGGCTGGTGTCGAAATCGGACAGGCCGCGTTTTGTGGGCAACATCCCCGCCTTCAGACGGTGCCTGAGGTGGTCCAGCCAGTCTCGCCAGAGGCATCCTCCTGGTGCCAACCACATACATCATCGCGAATAGGCCTCTCGCCCGACCGCTGGCCAGATGTCCGTGGGGGTGCCTGAGGATTTTTTGTGATTGGATTTTCCATCGGACACCGTAGTCCCCAGCTCGAGAAGCTCATCCAGGCTGCCTCCTCGCGCTGCACTCCCGGGCCTCTCTCATCCTCGCCCCTGTGTGCTCCTGCCCTGCTCTGGGCCTCCCTCGCCTCCAGGGCCCCATGCCTCGAGGCCTTACGTCGAGCTTTCGAGGACCTTGGCATCGCTCGGACGTGTGCATTTTTTCCGGCGAGGACCATCGAGGATCATCTTAGATCATCCGGCGAAAAGTACACGCACGAAATCGAAACATACACGGGGAATCGACGTCCGAGCGATGGCGAGGGACGGGGGTCGATGCAAACGGAGGTCAGCCAGAGCGCCAGGTCTTGCAGGATTTTCTGCAGAGCCGGGGGTGCACTGACCCAGGCTAGCGCGCAGGATCCTGCAGGATCCTGCAAGGCTCGGCTGGCCCGTTTCTGCATTGACCCAGGTCAGTGCGTCTCCAATCCTATCTCTGAAGCGCCGACACTCCTTCTCTCGTCCCCCCGTCTCGTTCTCGCCTCCCGCCCCCCCCTCTCTGTGTGCCCTCCCCCGACTCAACCCCTCGCAGCCCCCCTCCCCCCTGTCTGTCCCACCCGTCCACCCTTCTCTGGCAGTTCCCCCCTCGCCAGAGGATCGAGGGCCAGCCCGGGTCTGATTAGAATCTGTCACCCCCTGTGAATCGCAAGCGCCCAGCTTTCGCGCCGAAGACCGCGGGAAATCGCCGAAGACCGCGGGAGACCGCAGAAACCTGCGGGAAACCGTCAAAGACCGCCGGAAGACCGCCGAAGACTGCAGAAGACCGCCCTAGGCGAATGGGTCACAAGGGGTCCATCCCTCTGGGCGGTGCCCAACCAGGCCACTCCTGCCAGCTGCGTTCAGCCATTGGTGACGAGAGCCTCCTGCAAAGCGCCCCACGGAAGACCTCTGAGACGAAGGCGGTCGACGTCGACGTCGAAGCCTAGAACCGCCCTTCCTGCCCCCCTCCCCTTCGGTAGCAAATCGTGGGAGTCTTGTATACCTTCTTAACCGTCTGTAGGGTCGATTAGCGTCGATTCTCGTTAGGTAATCGACGAGATAGCGCCGACTGGTGTCGATTAGCGTCGATTTAGCCTCGACTAGCTTCGAGCAGCGCCGTTTTGCAAGAGCCAATGGGAGGCTCTCGTGGTGTTGCCGCAGAACCTCATGCCCCCCTTCCCGTCCCCACGGGTGAGAAACATACGCATATCCGCGGCTTCGCGTTCCAGATCCATGGGCCACGGCCCCATGAGTACGAAGCGTGTTTTCGCGGATGCCCGGCGCGGAACGCATACGTGCGACCACGCATCCGCGGGATCGCGCCCTGGAATGCCGACCACGAGGTCGCGGATATAGACATGTTTGCCGCTCGTGATGTCCCCTCCTCCCTCGCCCTCCCCGAGGAGCACCGGCCCAAAGGCAAGAGCTCTGGCAAGTCCAAGGGCTCCCGGCAGGAGCTCTCCGCGCACCCTGTGCGTCCGACGTCCCCCTTCTCTCCTCTGCTCCCCTCGGGGCCCCATGGACGTGGCGGGGCGTCCACGGCTCCTCATCCTTGCCTGTCTTACTGTCGTCCTCGCAAGTCGAAGAAGAGGAAACAGCATAAACATAAACTTCTAGCGGTCCGCGCTGATTTCTTGGATCTGCGCTGGACCACCCTGGCGATGCCTCCAGCGCCCCAGCGCAGATCCAAGAAATCCTCCCTCCCTTTCTCCCTCCCTTCGTCCTTCTCACTCACTCCCTCCCTCCTCCCCCCTCCCCCCTCCCCCTGCTGCTGCTTCTCCTCCTCTTCCTCCTCCGCTTCCTCCTTGAGCCTCGACGTCCTCGTCGTCCTCGACCCCCCGTCCTTCTGCCCATCCTGCCCCAGTTGCTGCTTCTCGTGCTCATCCCTGCTTCTGCTCCTCCGCATGCCGCTGCTCTTCCTACACGCCTGTTCTCTATCATGTATCATCTAGTAGGTGTCTTTGTCTCTTGCTCTCTCTCTGTCTCCCTGCTAGTGTTTTATCGTACACTTGTTTTTAGTACTTACCGCAGAGCCCACCCTTCGAGCGATAAGGAGATAGCGGGGGCGCGCGACATCATATTTGACTTGCGAGCGCAATTCAATTCACGAGTAGAAGCATCGGGCGACCATAATCCACCTCACGACGCACGGTCAACAAATCACGAACACCTCACGACGACGAAGCCCGACGACGACGAAGACGACGGCGGCGGCGGCGTTGGCGACGTCGACGATCGGTTACGCGTGACAATAGAACAAGGAACAAGACCTGCATAAACTGAAACTTTCGGAGGTCCGCGGGGATTCCTCGGACCCGCGCGGTGTGCGCCAGGGGCGCCGCCAGGGTGGTCCCGCGCGGATCCAAGGTATCAGTGGGCTTCGGGTCTTTGTCTGCACACACCCGTGCAGGAACAAGAACACGCCCATGTCATCTTCCCCGTCACCATCGTCATCATCATCGGTCATCTACCAAGTCTACCATCACTCCATCGCCATTTTCATCACCGTCTTCGCACAGACTGACTCAGTCACTCACACACTCGTACGCAGGAAGTCTCGAGCGGGAGCCTCGTCTGTGAGTCAATCGTGAGGAAGTCTCAGGTTGGCCCCCTTCCCTATGGGACCCCCGCTTCATGCCAGTAATCCGAGCAGGTCATCAACAATGCATAACTGGCGATTCAACTTCTGAACGTTCACGTGCGTTTCGTTCGATACATGTTGTTGTTTTTGTGGTGTGTTGCGTGATGCGTTCTTCTTCAAGTCGTGCCGACTACCCGCGTAGGTTTAAAGGAAATCAAGTTGCAAATGTCTTACACTAGCTATCAACTTGTAAACCGCCCGCAGAAGTTCTTGTAAAGCAGCACAAAAGAATTCGATGTGTACCACGCACAATGATAATCAACTTGTAAATATCCCACAACAGGAAGCCTAGTGTCCAGCCTCGTGACAGGATTTCATTCGTAACCCGCGCAAGAAGAATCACACTCGTCTACACAAAGACCTCTAAGACTCTAGGTGTAAAACCCTGCACAAGGGATTCCGAGTGTAAAGCCTGACATAAGGGTTTTGTGTATACGCCACACAATCGGAGTCAATGCGTAAATCCTCTTAAGAATTGAGTCCCAGTGTACAGCCCCTTTTTTGGGATTTCATGTGTAACCCCAGCACAACTGAATATGAAAACTGCCCACACAAGGAGTTCATGTGACCCGGGAGGCGGAAAAGTTTGGGAGGAGGCCAAATGAGAACGACCAACCTTGGACATGTTTTGGATGCCCAGCTTATGTATTGATTTTCTTTATGGTGGGGGGGGATCAACGACAGCGAACGCCATTATCAGTTTTGTGTTGTTTCGGCATCATCCTTACGTCTGTCCCCTTCTTTTTGAATCGGGGATCCTTTAGTGCGCCAGCGGCCACTGGCCACGGCTGGCCCGCGCGAGCCGTGCCCGAACCCTGCGCGGGAGGGGCTGCAGAGCGGCCAGCCCCAGGGGGGCGACCCCGTGGACGGCAGCGACGACGAGGGCAGCTGCGGCGCGTGCCCGTCGGCGGAGAGCGGCGGCGGCGGGAGCTCCGGCAGCCGCGGCGAGGGCGCGGACGCCAGCGACGTCGTCGGGAGGTGCAGGCGAGGGCGCGGGAGCACCTGGTGACGCTCGGCGGCTCTGCCCCGTTGCGGTGGCATCGATGAGAAGCTCCGTGCCGTCCGGCCTGGGCGCGTAGGCGGGCCGGAAGCCGCGGACATCCGATTCTACTCTGCGCGGCTCCAGGCGGATGACGAGGTCTCTGCTGCGCACGCCGTCGGACCCCCTGGGCAGCAGGTCGACACGGCCATGGGAGCGAGACCTCCCTGCAGTCGTTGTTGACGGCGCCGGTTCTCCCTGCCCGCAGATCCGGCCTCAAGGGCGGCAGGGCGAGCATGCCGGTACCCTGGAGTCGGGAATGGGCGACGGTCGCGCCCGGCCGAAGCCCGCCGGCTGGCGCTGGCGGGACCACGGCGTGGGCACGCGGCCCCCGCGCCTCGGTTGGGGCGGGCGTGCGGCCTCGCACTCGTTGTCTTCGGCATGGCCAGACTCGCCCGAGATGCAGCTGTGGGAGCGCCCGCGGGAGCTCCCGGGGCCCCCCGCGGGCCAGTCCGAGCCAGGGTCGCTCGGAAGCGAGACTGAGCGCTTGCGCCCCTTGCCGGCGACGTGAAAGCCCGCACCCACGAGCTGCGCCCTGGCCATTGCGAGCTGGACTGGAGACGACCGGGCTATCCTGCTACAGCCGCGGCGTGCCCGCGTCCAGCCTTAGGTGCGAGCTTTCCCTTCTCTCCTCCTCCTCCTCGTCCTCCTCCTCCTTCCCCCCGCGTTCTCTCCCGAATGACACGATGGCCCCTGGACTGCACGCTCCCCCCTCCTCTCTCCCCCCTGCCTTTGTGTTGTGTCTTTCCTTTCTCGCCCTGTTTCTCGGCATCCCTCGGCTCTCTCCTTTCTCTCTCTCTCTCTCTCTCTCTCTCTCTCTCCGTGCCTCCTTCTTTGCCCTTGTGGTGTGGCGTCCTCCTCTTCCCCCTGACTTCCCCTCCGCCCTCTGGTCCTGGCTGTCGCTCCCGGCTCCCTGGTTCTCTTCTGCTTGCCCTTGGCCGCCTTGTCTGGCCGGTTGTTGTCGTCCGAATGTGTCCAGGAGAGATTGTCGCCTTTGTCTGTTCGCGTGGCTGTATATCGAGGCGCTACGCGCCGTTCCACGCGTCTGGCAGGCCAAACGCAACGCCTGGAGACCAGCATGGTCCTTCTTTGTTGCGTCATGTCGTTGCTACACAATGCTACGCACGGACTTGCATCATATTCTTGGCAGCGCATCGTCAGGTGTGTTTGTTCTCCACCCCCCCCTTTCCTTTCCCCGCCTCGTCCTCCTGCTGCTGCTTCTCCTCCTCCCCCCTCCGTGGAAGCTCGCTGGCAATCGAGCGGCCCAGCATAGGAGGTGCTCCGAATGCGTATTGGAATTCAGCCTCCTTCGCTGGCAATGGTTTCAATATCTCCCGGTTGTACCCCTCGCGGGCTGTTCGGCGGTCGTCGTTTCCAGGCTCAGGGAGTGCACGACGTTCTGTGTTGAATTCCAGACGGCATGGTGGCGAGTTGTTTTGAGTGCGACGTCCATGTTCTCGCCTCGGGGCTCGGGCCTCGCTGTGGGCCCCTGCCGCGCGCCTTGACGACTGCGTTTCGCTCTTGGGGTCCTGCTCGGCCGTGCCTGCACTGCTTGGGGATACCTTTCGCCCTTCGTGTAAGATACTCGCTTTCGCATGATGTGTGGGAGAGACTTGCTGCAGAGGTCTGGTTGCCTGACTGTTCACTTGTGGCTTGGCCCCTATTTGAAATCTTCCACACCCGTATGCATTACAAGTGTATTTCTGATTATTCCATTGTTCGCGCGTCCTGCATTTGTGATCTGACGCGTGCTGTAGATAAGATTGCGTCTCTGTGCCTCGCTCGGTGTCTCCAGAGTGCACGGGTCTGCCGAGACGACCGCGAGGTCGTGCCGTCGGGCTGTCCCTCTTTCTCTTTTCGGCCCTGGTCCCTGGGGTCCGCTCGGTGCTGCCGGGGCTCCGGAGGCATCGGGCGGGCCCCCAAAACTATTACTGTTGAAGTGCATGCCTGGCTCCTGTCAGCCCGTGGCCCTTGCCATGGAATGCGCGCACAACAGCCGCGCGCTCGGATTTTGCTCCGGACGGCGTTGACATGTAGTGTTGGTTCGCGTCTTGAGGAACAAAAACTGACACAGTATCCCCCCACACTCGGCTGGACGACGAGAGATTCGGCAACTCTGCCAAAGACGCGGGACGCTACGCCGCGAAGTGCGACGGCTGCCCCCCCGAGGCCCCACCCGTGTTTTGGGACGCTGGCTCCCCCGCGCAGGGCTGCTTCATTTGGAAGGCTGATCTCGAGGCACGTGGCATCAACCTGGGCGGTCTCCCCCCCCCCTGGGAGGAGCGCACAGTGGACTGGTTCACCCGTCGTTGGAACGCCACCTGGCTATGCCGCCGCTGCCTCGTCTACGCCTGGGACGCTTGGCCCAGCACAATCAGCGCTCTTCTATACCGCGACACTAGCCTGATCTACCACAACCGCCCCACGTCCAAACCCCCCCCGCCCCCCCCCGTGCCGCCCGAACCCTCCTTGGCCCACGACTTGGAGCCCAACCGCGCTTTCGCCTCCAAGCCGGACGCCTACAGCAGGGACGGCAGCGCCTCCAACCTCCTCCCACTCGACCAGTACGGGCGGCCCCCTCCCCTCCGCTCTGCGGGAGATATTTGCCAGCTCCTCCCCGACGCCGCCCTGCCGGCTGGTCCAGAGCTGGCGTACTACACCCGGAGGCGGGAACCCCGCATCCGCAATGAATCGCCTGCAGAGAGAGAGCTCGGGGATTACTTCAGCGGCCTCTGGCACCCATTGGCCTTCGCGCACCCACCCCGGGGGGCTTCGCCTGCGCAGGCCCCTCCTGGCAGGGCCCTGGATCCCGCGAGAGTTTTTGCGGGCTTGGCGCCAACGTGGCTACAGCCCATGGACAGTGGACAGGGCCCTTCAGTTCGTTCCGGGCCAATTGGTCCGCTGCCCGCGACAAGTTTGCCAATCGGGGGAAAGGGAGAGGCGCCCCACGCGAGGGCAAAGGCCAGGATTATCGCGCGGCCAGCTCGTCTTGGCTGCCAGGCCAGGGGGCTGCCAGCCGCGCCGCGAGCGCTCGACGGCCGCGGGCGGCTGATCCCTCCGCGCGGCCTGATCCCCCTCTACTGCTTCCCTTCAACACTTGCCGCGTTTCCCTTGTTACCAGACGCGCGACCGCTAGTCGCCTTCACATGTCGATTCCTCGCCACCTCGCCCGACTTGCGACCGTTAGTCGCCTCGCCATCCCCCCCCCGGCGCCACCCCCAGCAAGCGCCGGTTTCCCGCCGCCCCCTGCGCCCGTGAAGCCCGTGCTCGGGCGCCTTCCTCTCCGCCCCTCTGGCTCCGCGCCCGCCTCGCTTGCGGCCCCCCCGTTGGCCGCCTTGGCCGCGTGCCCGACGCCGCCTGGCGCGCGCCCAGCTGGGGCCGTCCGCCGGCGCCGGTTTCTTCTGGCCCCCCGCCCCCCAGCGCCGGCCCCCCCCCCGCCCCCGCCTCAGGCGGCCGCCCGGGGCCTTTTCGGCGCCCCCCCTCCGACGGAACGCCCCCCAGCGCGTCTCGCCGCGAAGCCTGCCCCCCGCGGCGCCCGCCTGGCGGCTCCCCGCGCAGGGCGCCGCTCGGGCTTCTCCTTTGCCGCGCGGTGGTCGCGGGCCCCTCCCTCGGGCCCCCTCCTGCCATCTGCCACCGCCCGCCCTGCACTGCCAGGCCCGCGCGCGGGGCCGCGGGAAAACTCCCTCGGCCCAGGGCGCAGGTCTTCTGGCTTCCCCCTCCGCGGGGTTCTCTCCCCGGCGGTTCCCCGTCGGTTTCCGTCGCCCACCCATCGCGCGACCGCTGGTCGCTGTTCGTCTGCCACAGGCACTGCGTGCCGCGCTTCCTCTCTTCCACACCTGCGGCCGCTAGCCGCTTCCGTCTCGCTATCCGAGTGCTTCATCCAACTTGCGACCGTTATTCGCCTCCTGCATGTCTCAGCGCAGCTCTCACCGCAGGCGCCCCCCATCGCCCGTGGCCCCTTGCTCGCCTGGCCCCCCGCCCGCGCAGCTCGCGGCCTCCCTGGTGACCGCTCTGGTCTCGTGCCCAATGCCGCCGAACGCGCGCCCCGCTGGGGCGGTTGGCTTCCCGGGGCGCCCTTGTCCTGGATAGCAGGCGGCCCTCCGCCCCCCGGCGACTGGCCCGCCCCCTCGCACCCGCCCACCTAGGCCTCGCCCGAGACCTCCCCGGCGCTCCCCCGCCCATTTTTTGCGAGACTTTTGGGGCGTTGTGGGCGTTTCACCGCCGTGTCCGCTCCTCGCGGCCCCCTTTGCGGTCGTCGCGCTTGCGCCGTTCGGGTCTCTCCGCATGGCTTTCGCGGGCCCCCGCGCGCCCTCTGCCGCCCCCCGCCCTGGTCTCCCAGACCCCGCGCGCGAGGTTGCAGGGGGGCCCCCTCGGCCCGGGGCGCCTGTCTGCCAGCCTCCCTTTTAAAAGGCTCTTCCTGGCGGCTCTCGGTCGCGATGGCCCTATTCGCCCGCCTCCCCCGCGGCCCCTCCGCGGCCGTTCTGGCCCCGCGCCCCCGCAGCCCAGCGCGCGACTTGCTGGGGTCGTCGGTGTCTGTCCAGGATTTCAGCGCGCCCCCGTCGCTGGGCCCCCTCGCGGCCCCCCGCCGCTCGGCGCCGATACACCCCCCTGCGCCCGCCCTGCTGGGGGCGCTCGGGGCCCCTTCGCTCTTCCCTCTGTTGCCCGGGGCCCGCGGCATCCAGGCTCTCTGCTTCGGCTGCCCCTCCCTAGCGCCCTTCTCGGGTGCCTTCACCCTGCCCCCGCGCCCCCCCCCCGCCTCCCGGGCGGCCGGCGCGGTCCATTCTCTCTGCGCATCATCGCACGGGTTCGACGGATTCTTGCCCCCCCCCCTCCGTGCATGCCCTTTCCCGTCAGTTCTCGGGCTGAACATCTCGCCGCCTTTGCGGCGCGGGCTGCCGGCCCCCGCCTGATGGCGCCCGCGGCGCCTGTCCAGTGTCTGGCGATCCGGATTTGTTCCGTTGAGCGCCCGCACGATTGGGATATCCCTCGTACGTTGACCCCGCTGTCCTACGTTCCGCGGTCCGGCGGCTCGGTTTGGACACGCTGCTCGTCTCGCTCGTGGTCTTCGACGCGGTAGTGGAGTTGGCCTCGAGTTCCACCATTTTGGGGCTGCACTTCGCCCGGGAGGACTTCCTGGTGCGCGCCGTCCTGTGAACGGCAGCGAGGCTCGCCTCCTGTTTGCCCCCCTCCCGCTTTTCTTTTCCTTTTTCCGCCTCCCTGTTCCTGTGCGCTAATTTAGGCCGTTGCGTCTGTGTTTCGTGCCTTAACGCCGCCCGACCTTTTCGCCGCGGTCGCGATCAAACAGTAACCCCACGAGCCCATCCATACACGATGCCCAGAGGATCTGTCTCGATCAGGGGAGTGGGCATCACGCAGATGAAGGGTCCTGGTTCTCTTGGGCCTCTCTTGCGTCTTGGGGGCCTCTTGGCGGCCCTGGGGACCTCATGGACCGTTTCGGGGAGCCTCTTGGGGTTCTCTTGGGAGCCTCTTGGAGGCCTCTTGGGCGCCTCTTTGGGCTTCCTGGGCGTTTCTTGGGGCCCTCCGCTCTTGGGTCCATCTTGGATGACATCGATCAAACAAGAGGGGAGCACTAGTTAGCGCTGCCCCTCGGGAGCGCCGGAAGTCGCCTCTTGGGGCGTTTTTGGAGCGCTCTTGGGCGCTGCTTTTCGGGCCGTTTCGTGGCTCTCTTCAGCCTCTCTTGGGCCCTCTGGGCCCCAAGGTTTTGGACGGAGGTTGTCCTCTTTTGGGCACCCCCCAACCCCAGCCGGCGGAGGAGGCCCCCGTTGGCCCGATCCGATGCACGTCTCCATCAGATTCCGGTCTCCCGATCCCGTGCTAGCCGATCCTGCTCTCCTGCGTGCGGCCGGGCCCCTGGACCGCGACCCCGCGGATACGAGGCATTTGTTCGCGGGCGCGGAACGTATCCGTGCGACCGCGTCCTCGCCTCCTCCTCCTCCTCCTCCTCCTCCTCCTCCTCCTCCTCCTCCTCCTCCTCCTCCGTGGGATGGCGCCCGGGAGTCCAGACCGCGAGGGCGCGGACACGGATATGCCAGTCTTTCGTGAGCGACGGGTGCTTTTGCGAGCCCACCCCCCCTGCGGAGGAGGCCCCCGTGGGCGCCCGGGCGAGCCCCCCCGACGAGGGCGCCGAGGCCAGCGGCAAGGGCAAGGGCAAGGGCGAGGGCAGAGGCGGCCTCCGCCGCCGCCGACGACGCAGACGACGCCGACGACGCAGCCGGCCACGGGGCGGCGTCGTCGCCCTGTGTGACGCCGAGGGTGATGACGGCGGCGGCGCCGCCGCCGCGCGGCGCGGGGGGCTCCCTTTGCGGCGGCCTTGGCGGTCGGCGGCGGCCCTATGCGTGGGAGGGGGGGCCCGCGGCGTAGCTCAGCAGCGGCGCGGGCGCGGGCGGGGCCCGCCCTCCCGGGCGGCTCCCCTCCCGAGCATCGTCAGGGACGATTCGTTCCACGACGGGCGACTTTTCACAACGGGCGAGATCTACCCGACCCAGGAAATATTGCAGAGTGGTGCGGTCCAGGGCTTTGGTCGAGTTTTTTGCTGCAGCGATGCAATTTGTTCATGACGTCAGATCTAGAGATGGCGTTGGCCAGATCGGGGGCCCTCCCGGGCATCCCGAGGGGCAACGTTGAGTAGGGGGAGACAACCTCGGGGGTAGGATGCATCGACCCCCAATCGCCCACTCATCGCCGGCAGGGGCCCGATGGCCCACCCCTCCCAGGAGCGTGCGGATTCGTCACCAGGGGCCTAGCGCATAGCGCCGATCTATCGGCGATGTATCGCCGATTTCCGATTCCAGGTCGACGTGTTGCCCTCTGAGGACCCTACGGTTCCCCCTCAAGAGCCCTCCCCGCGAGCAGCCTCCGTGTGGCCGGGTGGCCCCAGATCGGCGGAGAGGGCTTTCAGTCGCCGTGAGGAAGATGAAACGCGATGTCGCGGGGAGCTTCAGACCAGAGGGTCGACGACTCGAAGAATAATAATTTGCTTAAACATGAACTTTAGGCGGTTCGCGCGGAGTTCTTGATCTATGCTGGGACCCCCCTGGCGGAGCCTCCAGCGCCGATCCCAGAAATCCGCGTGGACCTTCGACAGCTATGGTGGCGCGGGGGTTGTCATGGGTGCCCACATGGCTTCGGGTTGGCTGCTGGTCGCCTAGGGGAGGGTGTGATTATTCAATGGGAACAGAGATCAACCCTTCCCCGAAGGAGAAGAAGGGGGTTGGAGGAGGAAGCTCCCTACACCACTCACGCCCAGAGGTCTTGTCGGATTCTCCACGCTTTGCGTATCCCCACCAGTTCTCTTGACGGCGCGCAGTTGCTTTGTGTCGCTCGCGAAAAAATATTCCCACCAGCAGGTTTTGTTCGTAGCCCGGGCTGACTTCGGACGCCGCCTGCGCTTCCGCTTGCGGCCGCTACGACAAATCCCCACCAGCCAATTCAGAAACGCTGCCGATGAGAGCTGATCTTCTTGAGACCCTTTTGGGGTCCTCTTTGGGCTCCCTCGGGGCTTCTTGGGGTCCCCTCGGGGCTCGTTTTGGTAGGGTCTTCGGGCCATCTTGAGCCCCTCTTAGCGGCCTCTTGGGAGCCCTGGAGGCCACAAGGGCTCTCGACACCGTCTTTTGGGGCGTTCTTGAGGCGCTCGTGGGGCCGTCGTTGGGGTCTTTTGAGGCTCTCTTGGGCCATATTGGGGCCATCTTGAGGCCTCAGAAGCCCATCGGACGCGAACAAGTGAGAAAGCAAGTTTTATATTTTTGTCATACATGTTTGATTAATGTTGGACTCGTCGGATGATTTTCGGCTGTCTCCGAGAACATGTTGTGCCGTCGTGTGACCATATTCGGGTACATTGGAGGTATGTCGGAAGCTATCTTGAACAATCTTCGGATATGTTGAGCCGTCTTGGAGGCCATGTTCCCTACCTTGGCTCTGCCTAGAAGGGTTCTTACTCTCTTAGCTTAAAGGGGCCGGGCAGTGTAAAGCGCCCCGGGCGGTTCCCCCAGTCCCCGCCCCGCGGTTCCCCCCAGTCCCCTGGGAGTTTTAGCTTTAGCTTTAGCTTTAGCTTAGCTTTAGCTTATCTTTAGCTTAGCTGTAGCTTAGCTTTATCTTAGCGTTTCGCTTAGCGTTTCGCTTAGCGTTTAGCTTAGCTTTAGCTTAACTTCAGCTTAGCTTTAGCTTAGCTTGAGCTTAGCTGTAGCTTAGCCTCAGCTTAGCTTTAGCTTAGATTTAGCTTATCTTTAGCTTAAGTGTAGCTCAGCTTTAGCTTAGCTGCTGCTCAGCTTTAGCTTAGCTTTAGCTTAGCTTTAGCTTAGCTTTAGCTTAACTTTAGCTTAGCTGTGGCTTAGCTTTAGCTTAGCTTCAGCTTAGCTTCAGCTTAGCTTCAGCTTAGCTTTAGCTTAGCGTTACTGTTACTACTAATGCTGCTTTCCTAGGGGTTCCAAATCCCAGGTAGGGTCGCACTGGGATAATTTTATTATCGGAGGCCCTGGTGGAGCCATCTTGGGCGAAACTGGACCCCCTGACACCCTCGTCCCCCTCCCATCCAGACCCTTGGGGGAGGGGGTAGGGGGAGGGCTCAAGCTTCCCCCCAAGGACGGCCGTCTTGCTCACTCCCACCCGCCCTCCCACACTCTAAAGCGAGCTGGGGCACGTAAGGAGTGGAAGCGAGCGTGCGCCCGCGGCCGCGTCGGCTCAAGCGGCCGGCCGCCCAAATTTGACTGTGCCTCACTGCGAGGCACACAATCGCTATCTAGACCAAAAGGATATTCCTATTGCTTGAGATGGTATCTCCTCTCCTACTGGGACAATCGCTACTACGGTACAACAGAGTTGGAGCTTGGCTTCGCCTGAGGCGAAGCTTTTGGCTGGGCCTTCCAGTCCCCTTCAAACTTGGTAGCGGAGCTGGCCTATGGTGGTCAGCTCTAGCTCTACTCCTCACCATCCACGGCACTATCTGGTGGACTACAGATACGGTGGAACATCAGGGTGCGGTTGGATTGCGCGGAGGAGCGTATACAATTACGCAGCACCGCAAGGACATTTGCAGCGACACCTCTGTCCAAGCGGAAGTCTCTCACTCACATCTTACGTCCCTGCGCTACTACACTCCGGAAGTCCACCCACCTACTCCAATTCTAAGTCCCTTCGAAGGCATAATGCATGGACACATGCGATACGACATACTGCCGCTCCCGACCCCACGCAGAGTTACGACGACAAAACCTAAGTCCCCACCGACTACATCCGACTACGACTTACGAGGCCGCTGGATGGGGGTTATTATATTTGGGCTCAAATGGGTCGCTATTGGGTGTGCGGTAGGACATATGCGGGGCGGAGACGACTTTAGAACGACTGGCCCCCATTGGGGCCCTGCCAGTCAAGTGCCATTTCGCGAGTTCGTCCGCGAAGTACATGCCTTGATCAGTGTGACCACAGGCAACATGACGCCCTCCCAGCAAGTCGCCGCATTGCAGCAAGGTTTGGGAGGTCTCGCACGGACACTAGCCATGGGAGTCCCCCCAGCAGTTATAAATTTTGGCGTCAACATAGGTTCCTCTTAAGTACGAAGTTCGAGAACCTACAGAGGAACGCCAACTTCACTCTTGCACGGCTCTCATTGACTTTCGAATCCATGCGGGTAAACGCATCGACCAGACGGCGCGGTTCGAGGTAGCCCGCTACAAAGCTGAAAGTGCCGGCTTCAATATCCCCAATTTCCAAATCTTAACAGCAATTCTACCCAGAGCTCTTGCAGTGGGGACATCGCATGCACATCAACTTCTGTTGCCTCTGAATCACAACATGCCGAGGGACCAACCGCAATTTGACGCTTTACTTGAACGTATGAGGTCATATGCTCACATAGCTGAGAGGACCCCTGGCAATATTTGTTGTATCTGTAGCCACGGTCACCGAACCGAGACCTTCCACGCAGAGGCCAACGCAAGGCAACCTGCCAACAACGTCTGGAACGATGGTCCACAGCCAACTGAGACCACTACACTGTTGGCTCAGAATGGTGGAACGGCTTCGGGGTCGCAAGGCCCCTGGGCCAGATCTGGGGGGCCGCCCAACGCGGCTTCCCCTATACAAGCGATGGCCCTAATGGGCCCAGCGGGGCAACCCGCCGAGTCCGACTTCGACTCCGGCGCCGATGCGGATGCGTCTTCCGATGATGAAACTACCGCCTTGGTCCACACATTGTCTCTTACTGGACCTCAGTATGAGGAGATGTTTTAGGTACTGGCAGACACCGCCGGCACACATCAGGCAAAGGTAAAGGGCGACGAGGAAATCCAAAGGACGCCAACGGTAAAACTATGGAATGCGACATATGTCACAGCACACAACATTTCCGACGCGAATGCCCCCAGGGCGATGGAAGAGGCAGGGGTCCGTGAATACATCTGGCCCACACGGACTCCGACATACGGCGCGTTGATTGGGGGTCGCTTATAGCCGACCCTGCCGACCGCTCAGCCACAAGTGGTCATTTCATGGCTGCCAGGTATCTAAGTGCCAGCATGGCCCTCGAGAATTACGCCGACGATCTGTTCGAGGAGGTTGGCCGAATGGCTGGGCGCACCCATCGCGGGGCAACCTGCAGATATTGAGTTTGTCGAGAACTTCCACGTGCCCGCCGAAGGTGATTTTGGCGTGGCAGGGGGCGCTCGCGGACGCAGATGCTACCGCTCCTGCAACAGATGAGGAAAGACCTCCAATGCTTTATCCTCGGGTGATAGGAAATCCGACCAACGCGGAATTAATCGATGTGATTCTCTGCGGGGAAACCCGCGCGACGCTGGTGATCTATCTGAGCGTATTCACTATGAGCTCGGGCAGCATGAAGAAGTGCGGTGTACTTTTGTCGCGCCAGGTCGGTCCGCCAGCAGCCGGAGACGATCGCCGAGCCGCCTACCCTTGACAAGGAAAAGCTATCATGACGATCCCAGTTTCTCCCCAGTGGACGAGGAGGACGGGCGGGAAGACGACGACCGCGTGATACGTCGCGGTCGGGCTCCCAGTCACTCACCAGATCGCGCGCGAGCCCGCGCTAGCGGTGCTCGTTCGAGCGGCGGTCATCGTCCTCATCTTCTTGATGCGGGACCCACAAGGGGCCCGCCACGGCAGGCGACAGGAGCACGCACTCCCCCAAGGATGGGGCCGTCTGCGGG